GCAATTAAGGTTGTAGTTATAGTATATTTGGCTGTTTCGAATTGTTGAGCTGTCCATAACCGTAAATGAATATCAATGGTAAAAGGCGCAAATGTTTCTAAAAAAAGGTTGTGCAGACATAAATCTCTTTTGCAGGCTATTTCAAAAAAGGATAGTAATAAAATGGAAAATTCCCCCCAATGCCTCTGAAATTCGGTTTCGACCATAGACGTAGGTAAATTTCTAAAAGAAAAAATTATTTTTGATTCCTATTGTGAATCTGATACTAATAACTATTCTTTGGTGTCATTTGTGACCACTTACCATCTCACCTGATATTTTGCTTATATCGCTTATATGTTACTCTTCATTATTCCTGAATGACCAACTTATCAAAACATACTTACGGTAGCGCTTTGAGAACTAGGGCTATAGCACAAAGTGGCTTAAGTATTCGTTGGATCACACTGTAAGTAGCCCTTTGGTTTTATTACTTCATATTCAATACACAATTTTTGTTTGCAGTTTATCTTAATTTTTATTACTAAACTTACTGTACTTTATTTTGTTTACTTTGTTATCTGTCGTCAAATACTTTTCAGTATAGTGCTAATTTGTAGAGGATACCAGTTAGTACGAGTACCAGGTTCTTTACCCTCTTTTAAAAAGTCATAACATTGTTGTAGGTACTAGGTTCAAGATTTGTAAACAAAAAAATATATGTTTGCATCATTTTTATGTAAAAAAGTATACTTGCTATGAGCAACGTTCTCGAGAAATTTGGACATGAAATAATCGGTGCACATAATTTTATTGATTGATTTATGGGAAATACTAATTTTTGCTTTTGCTTTTATTATTATTGTTAAAACCACTTTTTTAGATAAATCTGCAATATAACTATAAAACTATAAAAATAATATAAGAAATTTCAATACAAGAAATTTTCGATGCTATATAAGTAGGATCAAAAATTTTCATACAAGAGATTATCAATGCTTTTTGAAAATTAGTTTTAATTTGCTTAATGTTACCACTACATTATATCCAAGGAGACAGGCAAATTCATTCTTCATTCATAAGTCTAAACTTGCGACCAACATAAACAAACGTTTCAACCAGTTGCATTCTACGCTTGGAAATGGCTTTTAGTTTATGCCGATTTATGATTGTACCCAGTTATTTGGTTATTTCAAATTATTATTATTTGGAAATGAAACACTTCTCAAATCACAAAAACCTCAAAAACACCAACAACAAATAACAGAATTCGGCATCCCAATTCGAATTGTCAAAAATTCCAAAGCATCTGACGTCTCCTCTGATGACGAATGATAACGATGTGTGTTTTATCTGTCCCGAAATATCAAGGATTTATCGAGTTTCTTGGATATAATGTATTTTATTGCAATCCAAACAAAATACGACAAAAACATTTTCGAGACGTTTGTTTCGAATTTTAGGGTCTTGAAGAAATCGGTCACTTTTACAAATATAACTTCATAAAATATATTGAAAAATTTATTTAATTTTACCCGTTTATCTACTCTTCTAACGCCTTGATACCGTTTTGGAACAAATAATATATTCCTACAGAGAAAAAATAAATATAACAAAATTAACTTAAAAACTATTTTACAAACGCAATAAGGTTATTTTCAATACGTGAATTTTAACGGACTTTTTGTTGCTATAATTGCAATGCAAGCAATATCTGAAATTCCCATTTTTGAAAGGTTTTGTATTCTTCAAAGTTAGGCAAAAGCGTCCAAAATAAAACTAATCCAATTAGCCGGTAGCCTCAAACGAAATACAGAAGAGATGTATTTCATTAAACCACTTTATTTGCTTTGAAAACAAAGGACGCCTTCAATTGAAAAACGTTTTAATTTGCGGCGAATTTGTTTCGCGGAAACGCAATTATTAGAACTTTCCTTCGTTTGCACTTCAAGGCATTCCGTAAATTAATTTTCCCTGGAAAGTTTCGCATAGAAGATATTGATTGATATTTTATAAAAACAATCCAGATTTTACAAATCGATTGTAACGGAATAGACATCATAATATACTTATTGGTATTCCAATTCACCATACAAAAATATCAACTGGTTTTGAAAGTTTTGATTACTTATTGAAATAACCTGAGTTTGAAAAGTAGGATTTTTGCTAGTTTCAAAATTAGGAAAGGATAATTTTTTTTACACCAGAGTTGTATTTGATGCTGGTGGTTTAGGTTCTATTTACGTTCTGATAACCGTAATGATCTGCATAATATAAAGCTATAGAGAAAATATATTAATATCAGAGACTCTCTACAATTACATTTTTTAATTACATTTACAATTACAAATTTAAATTTATCATAAATTTAGAAAGTGCTGTTCATAAAGAATTCATTATTCGTACTTTCCGAGGTACAGAACTTGTTATTTACTACAAACGAGATTAATAAAACATTTGGGAACTTTGACAATCATTAATTAAAAATATATATTCATTATTGAAACTTGAAACCCGGTTATTTGCAAAACAATTTTTTTCGAATCAAAATTTTTGACTTTTAATAATTAATGCTAAGTTGCTGCTATTTTTTAAACGCTCCGTATGCGATTGTGGAATTTTTGGAATAAAACTAATAGGCTAAATTTGAATTACAACAGCTTTTTTTAGGACGAAATTTATTTATTTGTAAGCTTTGTTTAGCAAAAACGTTTTTCCAAATTAATTTATAATATAAAACTTATAAACTCTACTTCAACTATAAATGTATGTTTCATACGTGAAATAAATTAAGAATGTTGCGAAAATAATTTCATAAAAGTATATCTCTCTCCGCATACAGTTTTTTAGATTTTTGCATATTATTAGTTAATTTATATTCCTAGAATTGTAATTTGTTATTTATAATATATCTTTAGGTAATCAAACCTTACTCTTAACTAGACTAAAGAAAACAGGGTTTCACTTACGACATCATCACTAAGTTCTCCAATTATTTACAACTTGAGAACTTTGGGCCAGTATTATCATTTCCAGTTTCTTCCTTAATTATAAAAAATCACTGTGAAAAATGTGCTAACACCAAAATTAAAAACTATTCAACAACTATCAGATCTTTATGTTTGGTGCAAACTAACCAACAGTCAAGCAGTATATAAAAATTATAAGCAAGATAGAAAAAGATAATTAAAGAAAGTATAAATGACAACATTTCAAACTCAATAAAGGTAAATCTGCCTAGAATTTTTTAAATTACGAATATAATAAATGAATAGATTTCTGGTGGAAATGTCACCGCAAACAGACTCAAAGTTAAGTCAGGCGCTTCTTCTAGAGAGCATTGGAACTATCTCTTTTGCTTGTATACAGTCTCGGACTTCATATGGGATTCCGTCTTAGGGTTCTTGAAAGCATACAATCAACGTTACAGCTCTCTCAGCAATATCATTTGGCTGGTTATGTGAAGAAAATTCCTAGTCTCTTTAACAAAAATACTGACTTTTATGCTAAGTCAATGACGACTGTTACTAGGAACAGGGCCGAACTCAGTATTCCTATACACCACGGAACTTTTTTGTATACCAATCTTTGCTGGTGGCATGGTTGGAGTTGATAACAATGAGGTGATACTTACAGCACAAATGCTTTTTCTCTTATAACATTGTACTTGAATGGGTATTCATATTAGGTTAAATCTTTTAATTGTATTTAATCTTGTAAACGTTTAATTATATTAGGCCAAGTGATGCTCAGAAAGGTTTTATTATCATTTAATATGATTTTGTTTAAGAGCGATCCGATATTTCCCGTAGATTTTAGTCATGGTATTTTGACATTTGTCAGGTTTGACGATCACTGGTGACTAAAATGGCGTTTATCAAACTTGTTTCATAATATACTATTTAATTACAAATTGTTTTAAGAAACATTTGTGCTGTCGAAAGTTTTTGCAAATATCGTCGCTAGCTTATTTACGCAAATTATTGGCAAACATTAGTATTTTGGAACTGCAAACTTAGGGTGTGTGGTTGGCTTTTAGAAAATATCATGAAAAAAGGAATATTTTACTCCTCGTGGATATTTTAAGATTTGATGAACGTCCCTAATTTTATCCTTCTATAAAATATTATAATTTTGATGCTAAACTGACTAAGAAAAAGTTTTAATAGAATTACAAAGGAGAATAGTGCTCCAAAAACTAGTGTCATATTTGCTATCAACTGTAATAAAAGGAACCCATAAAAAGTTATAACCTAAGAAAAAGATCTGATAATCTCCTATATAATGGAAAAGCCTTAAATATCACTGGCAATACCCACAAGTTGTTAAATAAAAAATAGAAATAGAAATAGAAATCTTCTCCAGATCCCCACGAAAAGCGGCATCGATAATATCATATCAGTATATGAAAGTTCCACCATTATTATTGATTCATTATTTTAATAGTAAAAATATCTCCGATAAACACAAGAGCCATAAAAAACTAATTGCAATACAACAGATTTCTCCATTGGGAATAAAATTTTAACATTTATTAATAGAAAATTTTCAAACATTTTCGTGAAACACTCGCACTTTTTAAGAGTTTGACCTGAAGCTTGATATATTTCTGTTTGCGAATGTCACAAGCACTAGCACTAGTTCTTAAAGAAGCAGTATAGAAATTACGCAGAACCGCCCACTTTATTAAGCGGATTAAAACCTAGCAAAACTATGTTAATTAAACTAAGTTTCACGAAGAGATTCGAAACGTGCAGAAATGAAGCACTTAAATATTTATTAAACGGCAACGGAGGCTTACTCCGCTTTCCAAGCAACATTGTTTTCGTTAGTTTTGAAAGTGTTCGATATTTGCGGTGTATGAAATTAATGTTTACACACACGTAAAAGTTTCCGCCGGCACGTTCGAAGGGAGGCCGTATGCGCGACTAGCAACTGACATTACAAAGTTGGTTAATTTCGATATTCGCAATTTAATATCGCAATGGTTGCCGTTCAGTAACACTACGCTTTAATTTCAGGTGCGGCATGTTTGGTGGCTCCGGAATAGCGAACGGCTCCATAGTAATGCCAGCGCCGGCATCATAGTCAGCAATCAAACGCTTGTTTTGCAGGTATGTATTATTATAGGTAGTAAAGCTAGAATATGAATACTAAGTTTATGTATGCGTATTGGACAATATTTTTATTTATGCTGCAATACTTAAATATATAAATATTATCAATAATTATCCGGATAAGTATGTTTTCATTGAAAAAGTTAATTTTTTTCACCCTCACAGTCGTGAGTCGTAATTACAATGAGGTTTATGTTTATTTTGTATATAAGAATCTTTAATATTTAAAATATGCTATACTGCAATTTTCTAGCTCTCAATATTATTATATATGTTTCATTACATTTCTTACACTGAAACAAAAAGTAGAAGTAACATTTGATTGATTGATTTGGTGCTACAAATTTGCATTGAATACATTTTTTTCTTTCATTCAATAATTCACTGTTAACAATATATTTTATCGAGGATATTGACTTTTTTGGAAGTAAACTGGTTTCTTTAAAAGCTTTGTGTAGAAGCTTCGGCAAAAACTTCTAAACTGCCTTCGTTGAGCTGCGGTCGTCTCTAGTTCGGAAGTACTTATAGTCGACTCAATTTTCTTAAACTCGATACTACAAATCAATCCAGTTAATCTTTACCAAGCCAGGTGTATGCAAAGTACGGACTACAACAACTACATCTTAAACAGAAAACCAAAACTTTGTACTAGCGGTGTAGGGAAAAAAGTATAATTCAAAATCGATTAAAATCGGGGAAAAATAACTTTGCAACCTATTTGTGCGAATCTTCAATATTTAAAATATGCTATACTGTATTTTTCCAGCTCTTAACAAGTATATTATTAATTAAATGTATAATTACATTTCTTACACTCGCTCTCACAATAATTGATTTTACTTGGTCTATGTGGTCGAATACTTTTTGTTCTTTTATTCAATAATTCACTGTTAACAATATCCTTTATCGAAGATATTGGCGTTTTTTTAAGTAGGGTACTTTCTGTTAAAGCTTTCTGTTGAATGAATCTGTTGGGGAACTATTGAAGCTCCGACAAACACGTCTAACCTGCCTTGCTTGAGCTGGGCTAGTTCGGCAGTACTTATAGTCGGCTCAATTTTATTAAACTCGATAGTACAAATCAATTCAGTTAGTCTTTAACAAACAAGACGTACAAAGTGTGGACTACAACAACCCCATCTTAAAGATAAAACCAAAAATTTTAATACTTTTACGAGCAGTATAACTGAAAATCGATTAAAATGAGAAAAAAATATATTTATAACTTTTGTGACTGAAGGGCTGAATTGGACTAAAAAAATACCTGGCAAAACCGAAATTGTCGGTGCTGAAATATTTCTGACTGCCGCCGTCATTTATTGTAATCTAAAATATTTCTTGGGCTTTCCACAACAGAATCCTCTACTTATTAAAAATGCATACACAGTTTTCACAATTTGCTTTCTCGAAACTCACGAAAAAGCAGGTTATTCAACACTGCCACTGATGTCAGCCATTTACCTATGAATAAATTTTTGCTTGTTGGTTTTAACCAGTTTATGAAGGTCGTAATTACTTGGCGGAAGGTCCGTCGAAAGCCAAGACGATATACTTTCAGACACACATACCTGCGTGATGGATTTCTGTAGGCCTACGTTATAATGTCAAGTTTGGCATCGTGCGACTATATCTGGGTTGTGCTCTTAAAGCATACTGTTGTTGATTTATGCATTCACCGTTACTCGATACGAGCTTTAGAGGATTTTATTCCTTGGACTCTCCCTTTAGCTATTTCTTCTGACAGTTTTTTTATGAAGGTTTTTAAATGAAAATTTTAGAAGGAATAATTATAATTTATTATTGTATAATGTTGATGATGCAGAAGACTAATTTAACTTCAAGTGAAAAATTTTATATCAATAATAAAAAGGTGCTATTGGCATTACCTTGATTTTTCCACCCTGTTGAAATTGCTGAAAAATGATTTTCCCTTCCTTAATTCTCTCACTACAGATTAAGCAGAATCTGCTATTTTTGTTATTGCGTTTGACATTATTTGTATCATTTTTTAAATTATAATAATCCATTTTGCTTTGCGAATTAGTTTCCATTTCCTCTAATTGTTTTTTTTTAATTCATTTTCGATTTCCAAATGGGATTCGCTTATTCTCAAAAATCTTTTATTTGCTTTGAAAGATTCCTGCTGCCTTGCAGTTTTCGTAATTTTTCTTATTTTTAAGGGGCTGTAAAGTATCCTAATTGTTTTGAATTATATTTAGTGATAAGGCAAATATGTAAAAGACATGTGAAATTCTCACTCCTTCAATCGTCGTGTTGTAACATTTTTAAAGGAAACTTTGACCAGCTTCGAAGAACGAACATTCCTCGGGAGTGATTCTATTCTATTGCGGTCAAGAATAAGGACGCTGTACGCAATTTTTTTAGAGTATTATTACCAAGGATGAATTTGGGACGCAAAAATAGTTAAACAAATTAGTCATATGACGTAAGAATTACATCTCGTTTATATTAGAATCAAATTGCAAATTAAATTCAAGGAGCCAGTTCACCCAGGATAGTAGACTTCAGAGCCCATTAAGGTGTTATCACGCGATAGTTACTAATAATGATTAAACATTGAAAGACTGGATGCACACGTGTACAGCAAACCTAGACTTTAAGAAAGACAAGACAGTAAACAATAACATCTCGCAACATGAAATATTACTTCACTTTTCTAATAAATTAATAAATTAAATTAATAAAAGGGGGTAACCTAGCCAAGTTAACACTTCAATCGTAACAAATACAATGACACTAAGGGTCTAGGCCATTTTATAAATTTGGTTCTTATCCCACAGAGCTCCATTTAATGATTCATTTAAAAAGAAACAAATTTTCAAAATACTTAACGTCACCTCTTTTTATACAAGTTTTACCTAAGTTGTTTAATTTGACCGCTGTAGAAAAAATAATGTTTGTCCTGGCTATATCTCTGAAAATGAAACGGCACTTTCAAAATGTTATATTTGCAAACTTTTGAGTAATAAGTGCTTATACATAACGTGAAATGCGAGAACTAAACTATCTCCCTATTACAGGGTAGAACCATTTACACAGTATTAGAAAAGTTTTAAAAACTTTTTCCGATGCAGTAAATTGTCTAACGTCCTGTAAGTTGGTTAAAGTGCCAGTTTTAATGTGCGAGAGTCATAAAAGTTGAGCATGCTTGTTCCGTTTTATTGCGCATTGATTAAATCGCAGTATAACCGCTGTCATAATAAAATTTATAACGTTTCCACTTTTATAACATATAAATTCTTTATCACTTCGCCATTAAAATTGTATGTTTTTATCGCGCGCTTTTATGCAAATTGGACTCTAAAAATATTTTGCTTCCGAAATCTGATCTCGAAATCCCTAACGGGCAGCCAACATAAACGGGAATAATTTACCAGAAGTCAGTCAACGGTATAGTTATTCGTGGCAGGTAGACGTAAAAATAAATAATAAAAAAATGATTCTCTGCGCAGGATGTCCAGTTCTTTTTTGTTTTCTTTAGATAACTCACTTATGTAGGAGAATGCTTTCGAGCTCTCTGTAAAAAGAAAACGAAAATAACAGCTAGCATATTGCGGCTTTGGATTTTGGAAATTTTGCATTTTGACACTCCTTGAAGCTAGGATATAAGTAAACTTATTGAAAAGGTGATAACTGATCGAGATAGAGGTTTTTTTGCATAGAATAGCGTAGTCAGCTTCATTCTAAAACATATATATTATATAAAATATATTATTATATATTTTATTTTTATCATTATATATTATAAAATTAAAACAGTAATTACGAAATATCATGTCTGGCCATAGCCTACTCATAAAAAAAATAAAACTAAAGATATATGCTTTGCATTTGGAATACTCTTAATAAAATTATTATTAATGTACATATATTTCATTAAAAAGACACAACTTTACTTTATCTATCAAAATTTGTAAATTTTAGAATAAAACTGATTACTCAGACCAGTTTTCACCTTTTTCGATAGGTTAACACATAACCGAACCACAAAGGGTGTTTTAAAATACATTTTAACATAATCCTGTATCTAAAAATCCAAGATAGCTTTGACATTTCTGTTTGTGCCACCTTTCATTTCGTAAAAAAGCCGCCTTAAATTATAAAATCCAGCACACGCTAGCTTTATTGATAAAGAAGATACGCCGTAAAATCATCGAACATGGGACACACTGTACATTAAACTGGACGACAAAGTTGAAATCAATTTGCAAATCATGAAGTTTATTGTAAATGTCAATAATTTATTTATTTATTATTTAATTTACGCGGATCCCATTACTGTCGTTACCCAACAATACTGGTAATCCAAAGCAATATATTTGAAATAAAACATAAGAATAAAAAAATATATAGTACAAAACAGTCCACTACTAAGCTCTCTTTACTTTACTTTAAGGTTATATAGCGATAAAACTTAACATATATTTAAGCTGTAATATGAAACGCCATAGAAGTCGAGAGGAACGGCGAATTTTATACGAGAAAGTAATATCGGACTATCACAAACACTATTAACGGTTTTAAAGAGAATATTTTAATATTCAAAGACTGTTCCAAAACAAATTAATATAATTAATTAATTAATAATATATATTGAACCGCAACATATTGATATATTTTTGGTAAAATCATAACCAATCCAGTACCACCAATTCGACCTGGCTAATAACATAGACATTGCAAAATTCAGCAGACAGTGTATTAACGAAAATAGATATTCTTAAAGCTTCATTGACAATACCCGCAATTTGCGACTTGAATGGGTGTTTTAGGTCTGGGTCTACCATACTAATCGAAAACACGATATACTAAGGATTTGTTATTGCATTGGAGTTATGTGAAAGCTAATAGTTTTACTTTCTTTAATATTAACCATGAAACTGTTTCCCAAAATTTGAGCAACAAAAAGGACCAGCCACTACAGAAACAGTACGAGAGAAACAAATATATAACCAGTAATAATCGTTCATGAAGAACCCCTTTACACATTTTGGATAGACCTCCTTAAGAATGTGTCTGTGTTTAAGAGCTGCATTATTTTTGTTTAATTCTGTGAGAGCATCATTAAATTCCCTAAAATAAAAATTATTTCCGACCACACTTTTCCCATGCCGGTAATGACAAAAGAAAAGTAAATCTCGTGTAGGTTACCACACTCGCCGCCGCTAGCCACGTCAGTGAACGCCCAATATTGGAATTTATAGTAAACCTGCACATAACCTTAGCCACATAATATTAAACACAAACCCGAACTATAAATTATAGGCATAAATCAACCGTGGCTGTTGCAGGGGGTGAGCAGAGCAAGCTCGGGGAAGTATAGCTGTGAGGCCACGAACAAGGAGGGCACTTCGTCTAGTCCGCCTTTCCACCTTCGGGTCAAATACGAGCCGGTCTGCAAAGATGGGATCGTTCGGAAAGTTGTTGGCGCTGCCAAAGACGAACCCGTCCAAGTGGAATGCAAAGTAAGTCGTGTGTGACGTTCTATGTGCAACGTTAGTTTGTTCTGTCCCATTGTCCATTATAGACGTATTACCGCTATCTGTTAGTTTAGTCCTATTGTCCGAGGCTGTAATTGAATCCAATGTCGCCAGTCGGAATGGGAGTTTTATTTTTCCTAGTTAGTTTAGGATTCTATTAAGAACGTCGCAACTCGGAGGGAAATAATTAATAAATTATTTATACCGTATATAATCACGATAACACCTAAAAAATAATTTATACGAAACAAGAAGTTTATGTTCCTTGTAAATGTTTTAAAAGCTTTATAATAAATACTAAAGAATCTTAATTAATATCTGAAATTTAATTTCACACTTATCTGACATAGTACTATATAAAAATTGGCCTAAGGGGTCAGTAAAGAGACTGAAATCTCTGAATAAAAATTGGGTTAGAAAACATCACACTAAATTAAAACAAACAAATGTATGGATATAGAACATTAAAATCTCACCTACAATTTATTACTTAAAATATAGGTAAGTATTCAGTATCCCCAGAACACATAATTGTATTCCTTATGTTTTTGGAGAAATTGCATTTACTTCTGGGTAGGATTTTTTTGGAACGTATTTAAAACTTTTTTCTTATTTAAAAATAAAATCTATTGTTCTAGTTCTAGTTCTGGATTTTAATGGAAATATAAAATTAAATTGCTTTTATAGGGTATCCCAATAGTGCATCGACGGTGGAAAAAGAAACTGAATTAAAAAGATGCACAGGTTTATCACACGCACGAGCTATATAAATGTTTAATACAGTTAAGTTATGTAATATTTCTCCATATTTTTGCAAGAAATATTACTGAAGTTACGATTTAACTGCTTTGTTAATTCAGTTGGTCAACGCTTTATCAAAAATTAGAGATAAATGAATAAAATACAAAACATCCTATCTGATTTTTTTAAATAGAATGTCCATCATACTGATTCTAGTATGAAATCAGAGTCACTAATTTTATATTTACTGTGTGCTTCAAATGTCTTCTCTACCATATCCATGACTTTTTCAGCAACCAAAAGTTAAATTGCTTTTACCAATAACATTAACCAAATCACGGAGCACATGATAATTTAATTAATTTGAAATTTCTTTCTATCGCCAACGGTTTCCAAGACATCAATCTCGGACGAACTATTGGGACACCCTGTATTTTACCTGTTACTATAAATTTTATTATTTCAAAGTTTTTTATCAGAAGTTAATTTGATGCATCTGAAATTTATAATGCTGGTAAAATTTATATTTATTTACATACCACCCTATCTTCTGCTTCTTTTGTTATATATTTTTTTATATATAAATAAAACTATTGAAATAATAATAATTACATAGGTACATGAATAGATGACATGGGCTTGTTTTCTTTGTTTCATTGCTTTATTTTAGTTGTATGTTGTACTGACACGTTCTTCTAATGTATTACAATAAAGCCATATTCTTATTATTTGTATTTATTTTTTATTAAATGTCTTAATGGTATGATAAAAACAACGTTTGGATTTCTTACTCATACGTGGTACGTTGCCCAATAACAATTTCACAAGAATTGCCGTTTGTATGATTTTATTTATGAATTATTAGGTTGATGAAGAAAACATTCACTGATTGATTAAAGCTAAAGTTACGGATATTCTCAAAGCAATCAATCTAGTATTTTAGGAACACGTTGTGTTTTTGTGTAGCCAGTAACACAATATGACAATAAATCGTTTAGATTCCATCTACCACACTTTTCTTCATACGATCTGGAGACGTTACCTGTTGCTGACAGAATAAGTTTGGATGCTTTTGATTTACCTAAATGCTCAACTCTGTGTCAAGCAGTTTCAGCACATTGGTATTGGTATTGGTATTAAAGGGGGGCGCCCTCGCGGGCGTCCAAGCACTTAGGGCACCAGATGGGCCCGTTGTGCCCCCAGGCCGCTCTAGAGGGCGTCCAGAATGCCGCCCTTCCTATAGAAGGTCAGCAACTCCTTTAGCTCATTTAACTCCTTAGTTTTAGCACATATTTAACAATATTGGAAAAGTAATACAAACAAAGAGTTCCTGCGAGAAATTAAATAAATATCAGAAAACAAAACATAAAAATAAATTAAAAAAAAAACTCAAAAGTTTAAACGTTTTTGTAATACATATTTACTCACTTATATTCCTTATATTAAGTTTAAAATTCTGAGAGCTAATAAATTTGGGGTTTATATTTCGAAGTTTTAGAGCCAACATAAAAAAGTTAATTTAATTCGAGAAGGTTCGGCTTTTATTTAGCTGTTGCCGAACTTCAGTGGATCAGCCCAATGGGTAGTCGGTTTCGACGATTATGCGAATTTCGTAATGGCTTTACGCACTTTATTAGAATGAAAGGTTAATGGGTGTTTAACTTTGCTACATTGTTTTATAATGATTGCGTTTCTGATTCAAAGCGAAGTAATTCAGTTTAGATTTTGATGGGGTCTGGTTTATTTGAAAGGTACTGAAGGATAGATTTTTATGCTTTATTATAAACAAATCCTTTCAAACGTCTTCTACTTTAACCGAAGAACCATTTTCCCTGTATTCCAATATGGTTATAGAACTTTTTTCAGATATCTTTATTAATATTTTACTGATTTTTATTCAGTGTACCGATTAGTCGTTTAAATTAATTTTTATTTTAAGTTTACATACTTTATTTTTTAGCAGTGCATATTGACCGTCGAATGTTAAATTCCCCAAATAAAACAAATCTCTCGTACTCGAAGAAGCCCAATTTCACGAAACTGTAAAGATTCAAAACACTCAAACGCGGAAGTGGAATGATGTTCAACAAAAGCTTACCGCATTCTTCACGTTTATTAATTCTTTAAATTGGCAAATTTGTTTACATTGGAGAAGGGAAGTTAGTGGAGTCTTAAGTAAATTAAATTCGAAAATTTTAGAAAGTTCACATCATCATCATCATGGCGACTTGTTTGCAACATTGCGTCGCTTCTCGCATCACCTACTCCAGCATCTCCTGTCATTCTAGTCTCCTTCATTGAGACCTCTTCCATTTCGGTTTCGCGTTTATTTCTTTGTGCTAGTGTCCAGTTCCAAATCTTTAATAGTAGCCTTTCTTCTCTCATTCGGTGCAGGTGTCCATACCATTTCAATTGTTTGGCATTTATGTCGTTCCATATAGTATTTTCGATTTGCATTCTTATTCAGTACATCATTTCGGTTGAAAGAAGTTTCTGAGTAATGTTTTTCTCTGGAACCCACACTTCTGACCCATACGTCAATACCGGCTGAGTCATAGCCTGGTATTTATATTTTTTGTTTTCTTTTTTGTTATGTTATTGCTCCATAGAATTGTATGTAGTGTTTTAATCATGTCCTTTGCTTTTCCCATTTTCTTTAGTATGTCCTTATTGTCCTTTCCGTTCTCATCTATTGTAACTCCCATAATATCCAACTTTTTTTATTTACATCTACTGACAAATTAATACAATTTTCCTGCAAATCTATTCTTATAAATTTGCCTCATTTAATACTTTGTTGTATAGGCTTTTTAACATTCCACTTTCAAAGGAAGCATTTAATAAGGAATTGACGATTAGGCAAATTGCATTCAATACTACTTCGTTTTATCAATAAATTGTTTTACAAATTCGCCAACAAACTCCAATCAGTGCTTTTGTGCAGTTACGTCATCAAAAATGATCCGTATTTCTTGACGCGGTTTTTGACAAACAAAATTCCTCTGTCAATTTACAACATCCAGTAATGAACTAGATAAACGTAACTGCTTAATTGCTCTGACTGGACTTTACATATCATATAATACAATAAAAATCTCCAGAACGTAGGTTCCAATGTTTGACTGTCTTCAGCAATGTTTCATTACACCTGGCTAGGTTGCTCCAGAATAGGAATTAATTTCTAAGGTTAAAAAAAACAATACACTGTGTCAATTGCAAATCAATCTAATGCGACGGACGCCAGTCTGGTCCATCATTGGTCTACGGATCATAACTTTTCTCCGAATAAAGATATCACTATTTTAAATGAATGCCCAAAGAATAAAAAAAATTGATCTTCCCGAGAAATTCTAAATCACCTGAACCAAAAAGAGTTCTATTCTCGATTGCGTTAATAACAATTTTAATTTTGAGCCGACAAAATTTTCTGTTAATATAAAATATAGGTCTCCGGTTTAATTGAGTTTTTATATTGTAATTACAAGATTTTTCCCTTTGTTTTTATATCTCGTTTAAATCAAACGGATTCGGTCTCATCCCCCGTCTTTGTAATTTGTATTTTATTGCTTAAAATTTTCTTTATTTGTCTAATGATGCCTGTGTAAACGAAACACAAGAAATAATAATTTTTGAGACCTTCACTTCTGAGTGTTTTTTTAATGTTTGTAGTTTTGTTAAATTCCTGTTAATTCGATATTAAACTAGGCAGTTATTAAAAGTCAAACGTAGCCGTATCGACTCACACGTTGATCCCTAGGTGCCATGTCTAGAGTTGGAGCCAAAAACCAACCTAGCTCTTTTATCAGATTTTATATGAAGCTGAGCCGAATTAACGGCAATCGTTTTCGTAATAGCGGCTGTGACACTTCGAGGGACATGAAAATTGCCTCATGTCTGTGGTTCAGATTCTCACAGATTACCGGAATTGTTCAAATAATTTAAGCCCGCAGTAAAGATTCTACAAAAAATTACTTACCCTTTCTAAAATAGCTCCTACTGAGGTGTGGAAGTGGTAGCTCACTAACCCCATCACGAGAAATCCGAATTCTCCCAAGTCAATGCTCAAAAATTGTCTTTTAAAACACAAGTTATCCTCTGTGGATCGGGAAAAATCGAAGTCGTCAAATCTAATATTTCAAAGTTTCTTGGTCCTTGTTTGCTTCCATATTTTTGTCTGTGTTTTGTCATTATTTCTCTAAAAACTGTCCTGCAAAAGTTTAGAACCTTGATAAAATAAAACAAAA